CTACCATCCCTTTGAGAGCTGTGACTGATCCACTATGGGAAACAGTTTTCCTCCATATCTGCTTATTGGGATATCAACAGATAGCTAATAGAAGTGAGTACAGAAAGCTGAAGAGAGTTACTATAATGATCTGACTTGTTGGATAATCTCTGGATAAGTGACCAAATCTCTATCACCTACCTTTCCTACACAGACACCTTTGTGTGTTTCTGTTTCCCTCTCTTCCTAATTGGCTTCAGCTACACAACTCAGTTCACCTAGAGAGGCACTGTGGCAAGAAAAACAATAACCACCACACCTGTAGCTAAGGAGCAATGAGAGAAAAGACAGTATGGCGTACAGATTGAATGAATGGTCTCTAATTAAAGGGTTTAAATGCAGCATTCACTTGAGGGCATGGGCCAACTCACCAAGATGGTAGCTATAGAAAGCCAAAGAAAACCTAGCATGAGAATAAAACTAAACGTTGAAAGGAAAACTGAGGAGAAGGAAGTGTTTGTGCTTTTGTCATTGGTCAAGCTGAGCGTGCAGCTGTTTTTGTTGCTAAGATGGAATAGGATGGAAGGGATTCAGAGGCGGCTCTCAGGCAGCCATAACCAGAAGAGTGTAAGTTAGGAAAGCCCCCAAACAGCAAAGAGAATAAGAATGCGCCACCTGTTAAGTCTATTCACTTGAGGGCATGTGGTGGCTCATGCCTATAATCCCAGCACTTTGGGAGGCCGAGGCGGGTAGATCACGAGGTCAAGAGATCGAGACCATCCTGGTCAACAAGGTGAAACCCTGTCTCTACTAAAAATACAAAAATTAGCTGGGCATGGTGGCACACACCTGTAGTCCCAGCTACTTGGGAGGCTGAGGCAGGAGAATTGCTTGAACTCAGGAGGTGGACGTTGCAGTGAGCCGAGATCGCGCCATTGCACTCCAGCCTGGGTAACAAGAGTGAAACTCCGTCTCAAAAAAAAAAAAAAAAAGTTGGCCAAAATCAAAAAGGGGCCAGGAAAAAAGACTCTGTTCTGGGCACTAGTATCCCATGAGGGGCTGCAAGATATTCCTTTCTACTGTGAGAGGCAGATCTCAACTTTGAGCTTGGGAAAGAAAATCACGGCCTCACAGTGCTTGGAAGATAGTCCCAGCTGTATCATAATGGAAAGAACAGAAGGCTGGGAAAGACGGATTTCAGTGCAGCTCTGCCTCATCCTAGTTATATGACACTAGTTACTACATGTCTTTGAGCATCAGTCTTCTCAGTAAAAACAGAATCTACTTGGATGGGAAATGCAACCTCTGTTGCAACACAGAATCCTAGAGGATTTAGTGGAGAAAATTAGTGAAAGGTAAATCCGACAGTTGGGGGGCTGTCCATATAATGGGGTATGAATAATCTGGAATGGCAAGGGTGCTTCAAAATGCCACCACCTGTCCTGATCACTGACACCAAGCTCTGCAAAAGGTGTTGGTCTGGGAGATGGGGAGGAGGGAGCTGAAGTTCTATTTACTAGCGGGAGACAAATTAACACAGAAATCACATAGGATTCTCATAATCTACCTAATGTGGCTAATACAAGAGAAAAAATTCCTTACAATGTTGACTTATGCTACCTTTGTGGATAGTTAAGTAACAAAAATGAAATTTCAGGCAATTATCTTCTTTAAAGGAATCTAACAAAAGAAAAAAAAAATCAAGCCAGGTGCAGTGGCTCACACCTGTAATCACAGCACTTTGGGAGGCTGAGGCAGGTGGATCACTTTAAGTCAGGAGTTTGAGATCAGCCTGGCCAACATGGCGAAACCCCTCTACCAACAATACAAAAATCAGCTGGGCAAAGTAATCCTGTAATCCCGGCTACTAGGGAGACTGAGGCAGGAGAATCGCTTGAACCCGGAAGGCAGAGGTTGTTGCGAGCCAAGACTGCACCACTGCACTCCAGCCTGGAGACTCTGTCTCAGAAAAAAAAAAAAGAAAGAAAAAAAAATTCAAATAAAGAATCAAATCGGGAAGACTGGGTTCCTTGAAAGGTGAAACTAAAACTTTTGTGGGAACAAACCACGAGACGAATGAATAAGAGCCTGGAGTTACAGGCATGTCCTGGGGTGTGGAAGAGAACAGATGCTTTGGAAAAGGAAGCTCATGTGCTGTCCCATCTGAGAACACCCCATGACACTACTAAGCTGGAATGGGTATGTTTGAAAGCACGCTCATTCCAGTTTAGTAGCGTATTCTCCAGAGACGCTGACATGTAGACTTGAACTCATGCTGTTAAAGAGATAGCATTAAGATGTCTCATGAGAAGGCAAGGTTGAGAGCTTCACTCTACATGGCTCTATAGATCCTAAGCTTTTTTTTTTTTGAAGATGAGGTCCTCTGTGCCACCTAGGCTAGTCTTAAAACTCCTGGGCTCAGGCAATCCTCCCGCTTCAGCCTTGTAAGTAGCTGAAACTACAGGCGTGTGCCACCACTCCCAGCTGATTTTAAGCATTTGAAACAACAATCTTTGATTTCTCCAACACAACGAATCCTCTCCTGAACTCTATTTCTAGACAGATGTCTTCATATGTAACTGAATTCAGTAAGTTAAGAGTAAAAAACTATTATCATCCATCAACATCTGAGGGGTTCTCTGTCTTGGTTAGGCCTCAACCTGAAGGTCATCTCTGATTCTTCCCTCTTCCTCATGCCCAAAACCATTCATGAAGTCATTGCTGACATTTCTATGCAATTCTGCCCCATTGCAACTGCCATGGCCACTGCCCTCACACCTCCCTTAAAGCCTTGTCTTCCCTAATGCAGGCTATTCAGACACCAGAATTCTCTTCCAAAGCACAAACGTCACTCTCCTGCTCAAATATTCTTTGTTTTTTTTTTTTTTTGAGAGGGGGTTTCGCTCTTGTTACCCAGGCTGGAGTGCAATGGCGCGATCTCGGCTCACCGCAACCTCCGCCTCCTGGGTTCAGGCAATTCTCCTGCCTCAGCCTCCTGAGTAGCTGGGATTACAGGCACGTGCCACCATGCCCAGCTAATTTTTTGTAGTTTTAGTAGAGACGGGGTTTCACCATGTTGACCAGGATGGTCTCGATCTCTTGACCTCGTGATCCACCCGCCTCGGCCTCCCAAAGTGCTGGGATTACAGGCTTGAGCCACCGCGCCCGGCCTCAAATATTCTTTAAGAGTTTCTCTTTCCTTACAGAATCTAGTCCAGACTCCTTAGTATAACATACAAGACTCTAATCTGGCCCAACTTCCATTTTGTTTTCCTTTCTTTTCTACTCAGTGCAAAGTTCTAGCCAAAACAGAACACCTGCCCTTTCTAGAACATATGCTACATGCTGCTCATTTGCTTACAATGCTCCCTCCAACTCGGATGTGCGTATTTTTAACTGAGGGTCTATGACATGTCAGGCACTATTTCATGAGCCACCATGCTTGGCCTTGTCCTGGTTGAGATTAAAACCAGGACAAGGCCAAGCATGGTGGCTCATGCCTGTAATCCCAGCACTTTGAAAGCCGAGGTGGGCGGATTACCTGAGGTCAGGAGTTTGAGACCAATCTGGCCAACATGGTGAAACCCCATCTCTACTAAAAATACAAAAATTAGCCAGGTGTGGTAGCAGGTGCCTGCAATCCCAGTTACTCCAGAGGCTGAGGCAGGAGAATTGCTTGAGCCCAGGAGGTGGAGGCTGCAGTGAGCCAAGATGGCACAACTCCAGCCTGGGCGACAGAGGGAGACTGTTTAATAAAAAAAAAAACAAAAAAAACCAGGACAAAGTCCCTGTTCTCATGAAGCCTACATCTCCCACTCATCTCCAAGGTCCAGCTCAAATCTATGCCTTCCTCAAAGTTCTTCCCAATGATACATGAGCATTAACTTCTTCCTGTTTTATGCCTCTCCTAGACTACAGCATTTAGTAGTTTGCCCTGTGTGATGTTTATATACTGGTGTGTCTTCTGGCCTGGACTATAAACTTTTTAGGGGTAGAAACTAGGTAGTCATTCATCTATAGCACAGTGCCTCACACACAGAAAATAATATTTCTTGAATTACACAAAGTCTATCTCAATCTGCTTCCATTTATTTTTATTTCTATTTACATATTTATTTTTGAGACAGGGTCTTACTCTGTTGCCCAGACTGGAGTGAGTGCAGTGGCGTCATCTCAGCTCACGGCAGTCTGCATTTCTGGGCTCAAGAGATCCTCCTAGCTCAGCTTCCTGAGTAGCTGAGACTACAGGCGAAAGCCACCATGCCTCACTAATTTATTTGTATTTTTTGTAAGACAGGGTTTTTCTGTGTTACCCAGGCTGGTCTTGAATTCCTAGACTCTAGTGATCCTCCTGCCTCAGCCTCCCAAAGTGTTGGCATTATAGACCTCTGCTTCCATTTATGATTTTATTTTTTGACATGAACTCTTGCTCTGACGCTGAGGCTGGAGTGCAATGGTGTGATCTTGGCTCACTGCAGCCTCACCTCCCGGGTTCCAGAGATTCTCCTGCCTCTGCCTCCCAAGTAGTTGGTATTACAGGCGCACACCACCACACCCAGCTAATTTTTGTATTTTTAGTAGAGATGGGGTTTTGCCATGTTGGTCAGACTGGTCTCCAACTACTGAACTCATGTAATCTGCTCACCTCAGCCTCCCAAAGTGCTGAGATTACAGGTGTGAGCCACCATTCCCAGCCTAAGATTTTAAAATACATATAAAAACAAAAAATGTGGAGTCTTGTCTATTTTAAATAAGTATAAATACTTTTGGGGGAAGTATAAATTAAAAACTGGGCTGGGCATGGTGGCTCACGCCTGTAATCCCAGCACTTTGGGTGGCTGAGGCGGGTGGATCACAAGGTCAAGAGATTGAGACCATCCTGGCCAACATGGTGAAACCCTGTCTCTACTAAAAATACAAAAATTAGCTGGGTGTGGTGGCACGTGGCTGTTTTCGCAGCTACTGTGGAGCAAATCTGAAAACCAACCCACAAGGTAAGGGGGAAAACAGTTCTCCAACAATGAGAATCTTAGCAAAGATTTTATTAACACACACTGACATACTTCTGGGATAGAAGAGTCCTCAGAACACTGCCCCACATTGAAGATGCTGAAATGGGTGGTCAGGTCCTTGGTCCTCCCGCTAGTCAGATAACCCCACACTCCTTCAACACAACCAGGCTTGCTGTCCTTACCCCGCCACATCCTGAAAGTGACGACATCTGGTCTCCCTCAGCCAGATGCAGATGGTTGACACTCACAGCCTTTGCAACAACAGGCGGTCCTTATGATTAACCCAGAACAGGAAAAACTTAGCGTCAGCTGACCAAAAGGAACTTGGCCTTCATTTTTCAAAGAGTCACTCTCATTCCAGCTGTCTCCAGAAGGGGCTGGAATATCTTCAGGACGAGCACAGAGATTCCCACTGCCGAAATATTCGGAATACTTTCCTTGATTTCTCACAGAGGCTCTGTAGGTAGAAAAGCTTATTATTAGTGATAATATTCTTTTATAGAGGCAAAGGATAGACCATGTCTCCCACATGATCTAGACATGTCTAGGACTGAATAAAAATTCACTTTGTAGTGTGCCGTACATAACATATACCTAAAGTCAGACTAAAGATCAAGGGGCTGGGGTTCTACTGTCAGACTCCTGTTAACACACCCTGAGCCTCTAAGACCCTGCTCATATCCTCCCTTCAGGCATCTGTATCTGTCCTCCTCTTTGTACTTGAGGGTGGCACTTCTGACTCACTGTTGGTGCATCACGTTTAGCACTGGTTTTTCACTCATGATGCTGAATTGGCCCTAGTTCATTATAAATACTTATTCTTGTGAATAAGTATTTATACTAATGTGAGGCCTAGCTGAAGTGAACAGTATAAACCAAGGCCAAGTAATAAAAACAGAGTTGAATGACTCCTGTGAGTTTAAGCCTTGCCCTTGGTCTTCACAGCTTTGTTTTAGCCAGCAGTGCTAATAATAGGAAGAATCTCACTGCCATCTGATCATGTCTGTGAAATGCTCTGAGATTCTGAGAAATGGTGGTAAAGGGAGACAAAGTAATTCATTAGGAGATAAAAGCTCTTGGTGAATCAGACCACTTGAAAGTCTCGCTCTGTTGCCCAGGTTATGGCACATTCTTGGCTCACTGCAGCCTCCACCTCCTGGGCTCAAATGATTCTCCTGCCTCAGTCTCTCCAGTAGCTGGGACTACAGGCACATACCATGTCTGCCTTTGAGAATCAAAATAAAGAGCAAATATTCCATGCATGAAGGGTCTCCGTAAGAGTACAAAGAATGTCTAGCAAGATGATCCACAGTTACCTCCAGTTTCTCATATGACACTTTCATAGTTTTTAAAAAATCTATCCTCTTCCTTTTTTGAAAGGGAGTCTTACTCTGCTGCCCAGGCTGATGTATAGTGGCACGATCTCGGCTCACTGCAACCTCCGCCTCCTAGGCTGAAGTGATTCTCCTGTCTCAGCCTCTGGAGTAGCTGGGATTACAAGTACACACCACCAGGCTGGCTAATTTTTTTCTTTTCTTTTCTTTTTTGAGATGGAATTTTGCTCTTGTTGCCCAGACTGGAGTGCGATGGCATGATCTCAGCTCACTGCAAACTCCACCTCCTGGGTTCAAGAGATTCTCCTGCCTCAGCCTCCCGAGTGGCTGGCATTACAGGCATGTGCCACCACACCCAACTAATGATTTTTGGATTTTTAGTAGAGACGGGGATTCGCCATGTTGGCCAGGCTGGTCTCGAACTGCTGACCTTAGGTGATCCGCCTGCCTTGGCATCCCAGTGTTGGGATCACAGGTGTGAGCCACTAAGCCCAGCCTCAGTATACACTTTTTCTCGAACATCAGAATCCTTTACCACACAACCTCATTAAGCTTTCTAGCTTCCAGATGCAGCAGCTGTCAGAAGGTTAAAAGACACACTACCAAAAAAAAAAAAAAAAAAAAAAAAAAAAAAAAAGAAGTCCTGGAATCCATGGCCAGTTATGAGGCCAACGTCCCACCCAAAAACAAAAGCAAAACCCCATGGGCTTTCTTTTTAGTATGGCAATGACAGAGGAGTCTTACTAAAAACTGCCAAGTTTTCTGTGAAAACTTGGAAAACCTTCACCAGTATATTTACTAAGCGTACTAATACACACTTTGGGCTTTTAGCATTACTATAGTTCCCTCCAGTGGAATCCTGTAACCCTAGAAAACCATGAATTCAGGAATGCTGCTCATAAATATCTGATGACAAGCATTATTTTACTTTGTCCTTGAAAGTTATAGAGGTCAGAATTTGTTACCAGCTACAAGGAAAATCTGGGAGTGAGCCAGCCAAGGAGAGACCCAGTTTTCAGGATTCCATATTGCCCAGCCTATCACTTCCAGTCTTTACACACAGGAAACTTGACTTTTCTTCTCAGTTGACACCCACAATTGTAACCCACAGCAGTCATGGCTGCAATGGCTAGTAGAGTCACAGTCTGGGCTGTGGAACAGAGTAAAGTAATGTGGTCGGTGTGCAGAATGAAGCCATCATCTTGGTGTCAGAGTCCGGTGCTCCAAACAGCTAAGTTAACTGGCCAGGTGCAAGTGACAGCAACTGAAAGAAAAAGCAGCTGTCTGCAACATGAGGCTGGAGCAGCTGCCTATTCAGCTATTTTTGTTTCTGTACTCCTTTTCTACTTGGAGTCATTCAATTTAAGAGAACAAAAGAATTTATCAGAACTTGATGGAATGCCACATGCTAAAGTGCAGAAAGACAAATCGGTTCTACACCTATTCCCTAGCATGAAAGCAAAATGAGTCTAACTTGACCTATTAGCCGGGTGCGGTGGTTCACGCCTGTAATCCCAGCACTTTGGGAGGCTGAGGTGGGTGGATCATGAGGTCAGAAGTTTGAGACCAGCCCGGCCAACATGGTGAAACCCCGTCTCTACTAAAAATACAAAAATTAGCCGGGCATGGTGACGGGTACCTGTAATCCCAGCTACTCGGGAGGCTGAGGCAAGAGAATTGCTTGGAACCAAAAGCAATTGCAAAAGGTTGCAATAGCTTCTGGAACCAGAAGGTTGCAGTCAGCTGAGATTGCGCCACTGTACTCTAGCCTGGGCGAAAGAGCAAAACTCCGTCTCAAAAAAAACAAAAACATCTTTGTGTAGTTTGAAGGAAAAAGAAAAAAAAGGAAAAAAAAACTAGCTGGGCGTGGTGGTGCATGCCTGTAATCCCAGCTACCTGGGAGGCTGAGGCAGGAGACTCACTTGAACCCAGGAGGCAGGGGTTGCAGTGACAGAGATCACACCAGTGTGCGCCAGCCTGGGCAGTAAGAGCAAAACTCCCTCTCACAAACAAACAAACAAACAAACAAACAAACAAAAAACCCCAAATAACTTGACATATGAAAGCTGAGGGCAGGCAGGGTGCTAATTATAGGACCAGCATCTGCTCCTCCTCCCATAAACAGCAAGGGCTGTCCACACACAAGGTAGTGACTTATCTCACCACAGAGTCTGTTTCAGCTGGCTGGCTAGACTGTTTGTGGGCCAACAAGATGGTCAGCACTGCCTTCCAGCCTGGCTCTGCTGGGTCGCTGGCATCTGGTTCAGTTCCACCATTCTCCCTGCTTTCTTTGCCAAGTGTGATATTCACCCAAGGGCACCAGTCTCTATGCTGAGAGGTGGGATCAAAGAAGCTTCGGGAAGATGTGTCCTGAGGAAGGAGGAAGAGAAATAGCGATCATGAGCAGATGCTATGTAAGTTCAGGGAGGCACTGCTATTAGTCATCAAATCCAGAATGTCACAACTACCCATACTTCAAGTGTTTATGCTCTCCTTTAAACTCTGCTGAGATATTTTCCTTATTTTTTCACTCCTTTCATGTTAAACAAACTATACCTTATCACAAGGGATAGGGGATACCCCACCCCCAGGCCATGGACGGGGACCTGGCCGTACAGGAGGTGAGCAGCAGCCGGGCAAGAAAAGCTTCCTCTGTATTTACAGCCACTCCACATCCTTTGCATTACTGCCTAAGCTCCACCTCCTGTCAGATCGGCAGCGGCATTAGACTCTCATAGGAGCAGGAACCCTACTGTAAATTGCACATTCGAGGGATCTAGGCTGCCAGCTCCTTATGAGAGTCTGACACCTGATGATCTGTCACTGTCTCCCATCACATCCAGATGAGATTATCTACTTGCAGGAAAACAAGCTCAGGGTTCCCACTGATTCTATATTATGGTGAGCTGTATAACTACTTCATTGTATAAAAAGTGCACAATATATGTAATGTGCTTGTATCATCCCGAAACCATCCTCTCAACTCCAGTACGTGGAAAAATGGTCTTCACGAAAACGGTCCCTGGTGCCAAAAAGGTTGGGGACCACTGCCTTATCAGGTTTGTCCCCGTATCACACTGCTGTTCCATTTGCCTGAGATATCTATTATTTCTCCAGAAGCTACCCCAAAGGAGCAAATGACTGACATTTTTCCCCTTTGGTCACCCAACTTTAAACTTATTCACATGGTCTACTTTTTGCATTGGACCACGGAAGGGCTCATGCCTGCTTCTCCATGCTGCCCAGGGAAATCTCAACATGCTGTCTATGCTCAGCCACTGCTACATGCGAGGTGGACTCACCGAACTGCTGGAGGAGCAGAGGCGAGCTCGCTTGGCTTTCCGAAGGGGGCTAGATGGTACCTCCAGGCCAGGGGTGTCACCTGTTCCCATGCTTCGGGTCACTGGGCGGGTTCTGGTGGTGGGGCTAGCAGCCTCTGGCTCAGGACGGTCAACAGGACTGGAGGAGTCCCAGCTCCGAGTTCGAGAGACAATGGGACCAGGGCTCTTTTCAGCCTGAAGGAAAGGGGAGATAATGGAAGTACAAAAATGATATTAATGATCATGGTCAGAAATACTTCTTTCTTTAATCTTTTTTTCTTGAGACAGAGTCTTGCTCTGTTACCAAGGCTGGAGTGCAGCAGGGTGATTTCCGCTCACTGCAACCTCTGCCTCCCGGTTCAAGTGATTCTCCGCCTCAGCCTACCAAGTGGCTGGGACTACAGGCACCTGCCATCACGCCTGGCTAATTTCTGTATTTTTCATAGAGACAAGATTTCACCATACTGCCCATGGTGGTCTCAAACTCCTAACCTCAAGTGGTCTGCCTGCTTCAGCCTCCCAAAGTGCTGGGATTACGGCATGAGCCACCGCATCTGGTTGAATTTAGCTTCTCCATTAGTGACCAGAAACACCACGTGGCATTGTAACCAGTGTAGTGCAAAGTGAAGCCTATCTCACTAAATTAATTTCCAACTTTCTAGCAACAACATTTTTGCCAAGAATGTTGTTTCAAAGTCTACCCCAGTTCAATTCATTCACTTCAGAGGACAGTTTAAAGAAAAAAAAAAAAAAGTCCACCCCAAACAAGTTAAGTGCATACCTGCTCTGAGCCTGGGGAGAAAGTGGCATCCTGGCTCCGGGTCATCATCCTCCGAGGAGATTCAGGCACCAGAGGGAAGCGCTCTGGCCGCCCCTCAAGGCCTGGAATAGGGGAGCTGGTCAGGCCAAACGATGTGTCCAGATCAGTTATGGACGACTCAATCTGCTGGAAGCCCCAAAGTCCCACCTTCCTCATACACTGAGAACATGTTATCAGGGAGAGCTGCATGGGTTCCAAAGAGGAACTAGACAGGAATGAAAAAGAAAGAGAGTTTTCTCAAAGTGTCACAATTCCAAATGACGAAGTGTAATATCTTGCGAGTATGTTTTATCTCATCCAATTTCCGGAACAGTCCAGTGGACGGGAACCATGTCCTGTCAGAGCCTTTGTGCTCCAGTCTCAGGACCCCAGCTTCATGCTTCGTCATCTCTCATACATAGAAAGACCTAGGGTTCTTAGTGTGCTCTCTATGGTGAGACTGTTTTGCAGGCATATTTTAAAAGTTTCTCCTGTCCCTCCTGAAACCTTATATTTTAAAAGTTTCTCCTGTCCCTCCTTAAACCTTTTCCCTTTACACAAAAAACATTCCTTAATCTATCAAAGAGAGCATATTTAAAATAAATCAAGATTTATTTACTGTCAGAAACAATCTTGATTTATTTTAAATATGTTCTCTTTGGTAGATTAAGGACAGTGGAAGTCTCTACCAAATTGAGCAGCTGGAATGGAAATAGCAACATGGGGGCCTTGAGGACTCCAGCTGGTGTTTCCTATGGTAGTTTTTACCAATTAAGCGGATTTTTCTTCCTTTCTAAAAATAGAAAAGAACTTCCTATTTTTCCTTCTTAAAAATAGAAAAGAGCTTATTTTCTATTTTTAAAAAGGAGCTTCACTGTTTATAGAATACAAATTCCCAGTTGAGAAGCAACAGCAGAAGAAACAAAGTTCAGCTGTAACACCAAGAATTCCTGAATTCCAATTCTGGTTTTGTTACTAATTATTATTACCCATTCTCCCTGCTGCCACCCCTCAACCAGTTTCTCTTTGTCTCTTTTTCTCACGGGAAACACCATGTGATTTCTAAATATGATTAGGGACTGATATATATGGGTGTAATGCTGTTGTCATAGTTCCTGTCTCCTGGCAAAATTCGCTGACTCACCTACATGCCCAGCCACACACAGAGAGAATACAGGCAGTGACGTGGACTTGGATGTCTGAGCCTAATTTGGTTGTAGTTTTCCTCTCATCAGTTCGGTGATCAAGTTCATCTTCAAGTAGGTGTAGGAGAAGACTGATCTTGTCTTCTGTCAAGCACTACAGAGGAGCCAAGTAAAAAACTTCAAGTTTCAACCACCATAAAAAGAAAAATTACACATTATAACATACCTAGTTGGTACAAGTCAAAAATCAGGAAGGAAATTACAAACATGAAGACAGTTCACAGAGAACAAATACTTTCAGGACAGGGCTATAGTATCACACAGAAGGTTTCTTTTTTTTTCTTTTTTTTTTGGGGTGGACAGAATTTCACTCTTGTTGCCCAGGCTGGAGTGCAGTGGTGCAATCTCAGCTCACTGCAAACCTCTGCCTCCCGGGTTCAAGAGATTCTCCTGCCTCAGCCTCCTTAGTAGCTGGGATTACAGGTGGGTGCCACCACACCTGGTTAATGTTTTTATTTTTGTAGTAGAGATGGGGTTTCACCATGTTGGCCAGGCTGGTCTCGAATTCCTGACCTCAGATGATCCACTCGCCTCAGCCTCCCAAAGTGCTGGGATTACGGAGTGTGAGTCACCACGCCCAGACCCACACAGAAGCTTTCTGAATTGCCCTGGATCTGCTGACTGAGAAAGACAGAGTCTCCCTGGAACTGCCAAAACTCTTGTTACTACTAAATTGTTTTCAATTTACCAGTTGCAGATTTTCCCTGAAACATGCAAACTTCAAACTCAAATAGTGAAAACAGATTACTGCTTATGTCTTAGCCTAACGCTAAATTTCCTTAAACATCAAAAAAAAAAATTTAGAGATGGGGTCTCACTATGTTGACCATGCTGGTCTTGAACTCCTGGACTCAAGCAATCCTCACACCTCAGCCTCCTGAGTAGCTGGGACTACAGGTGTGTATGACTGTGCCCCTCGCTCTGAAATTACTTTTTGACAGAATGACAGAGCTCATTAGACTTTATTTTTGTTCTAAGAAAAATCAGGAACTGGCTGGGCAAGGTGGCTCATACCTGTAATCCCAGCACTTTAGGAGGCCAAGGCAAGTGGATCTCAAGGTAAGGAGTTCAAGACCAGCCTGGCCAAGATGGTAAAACCCCATCTCTACTAAAAATACAAAAATTAGCCAGGCATGGTGGCAGGCGTCTGTAATTCCAGCTACCCAGGAAGCCGAGGCAGAGAACTGCTTGAACCTGGGAAATGGAGGTTGCAATGAGCCAAGAACATTCCACTGCACTCCAGCCTGGGCAACAGAGCAAGACTCCATCTCAAAACAACAACAAAAAAAGGAACTATGATCGGGTGAAAAAAATTGCCTTGGCTAGAGATAGCATAATATTCATAAGCATCAGAGGTTAACAGTTTGTGTCTATGGCCATAACACCCTGAATGAGCCCGAGCTCGTCTGATCTTGGAAGCTAAGCAGGGTCAGGCCTGGTTAGTACTTGGACAGAAGTTCAAGAGATTAATAGTTTGATGCTAAAACCCATATCACTCTCTTAATTTTAAGAGGCTACTATTTCCTACAGTAAAGCTTGTCTTCATGTCTTGACTTCATGGAGTACCCACACGGTGATGAAATGGGACAGTAAATATTCAGTTTCAAAGTACAGATTAACTAGAGAATTTATTTTTTTTTTTTTTTTGAGATGGAGTTTCACTCTTATTGCCCAGGCTGGAGTGTAACGGTATGATCTTGGCTCACTGCAACCTCTGTCTCCCAGGTTTAGGCAATTTTCCTGCCTCAGCTCCCTGAGTAGCTGGGACTAGAGGCACACACCACCATGCCTGACTAATTTTTTGTATTTTTTAAAATTCTTTTTTAGCACTTGAAGTGGCTTCAGAATAATTTTTTGTATTTTTAGTAAAGACTGGGTTTTACCGTGTTGGCCAGGCTGGTCCTGAACTCCTGACCTCAGGTGATCCACCTGCCTTAGCCTCCCAAAATGCTGGGATTACAGGTGTGAGCCACAACACCTGGCCTGACTAGAGCATTTAGACGTTTCTACTCACAAGGAGAAGAGAGTTTGTTACTTTCTTTGGAAAATGATATGCAATAACCCATATGTAGTCATATTTCATTATTTTTTTTCTTTTTTCTTTTTTTCTGAGACAGAGTCTCGCTCTGTCACCCAGGCTGGAGTGCAGCGGCACAATCTCAGCTCACTGCAACCTCCGCCTCCCGGGTTCAAGCAATTCTCCTGCCTCAGCCTCCCGAGTAGCTGGGACTACAGACGCATGCCACCACACCTGGCTAGCTCTTTGTATTTTTATCAGAGATGGGGTTTCACAGTATTAGCCAGGATGGTCTCCATCTCCTGACCTCATGATCCGCCTGCCTTGGCCTTCCAAAGTGCTAGGATTACAGGCGTGAGCCACCACGCCCAGCCTGTATTTCAGTATTTTCTGTTAAATAGTTTAAGTAATAAATCAAGATAGAATTGAATTCGTGGGAAGCATATATTCAGGGCAAACTTGAATCTATGCTTCTAGCTTATAGCCCTAAAACTTGGCTCAAATAAACTCTCTACTTATATACATATATTTTAAATTGAATCTATGCCATTTAAAAAACCATACCTGCAGGGCATGGTGGCTCATGCCTGTAATGCCAGCACTTTGGGAGGCCAAAGCGGGTGGATCACCTCAGGTCAGGAGTTTGAGACCAGAGTGGCCAACATGGTGAAACTCCATCTCTACTAAAAACACAAAAATTAGCCATGTGTGGTGGTGGGCGCCTGTAATCCCAGCTACTAGAGAGGTTGAAGGAGGAGACTCATCTGAACCCAGGAGAAGGAGGTTGCAGTGAGCCGAGATCACGCCACTGCACTCCAGCCTGGGGGACAAGAGCAAAACTCCATCTCAAATAAAAAATTATACCTAAATATTCAAATGGAACTCTCAACAGTCACCTTCCTGGTAGAGACTGAAAAGGTCAGCTGAGAGACAGACAAGCAGTTCTCTTCATAGTAATTGCATCTTGTCATCATTTTTTTTTTTTTGAGATGGAGTTTCGCTCTTGTTACCCAGGCTGGAGTGCAATGGCGCGATCTCGGCTCACTGCAACCTCCGCCTCCTGGGTTCAGGCAATTCTCCTGCCTCAGCCTCCTGAGTAG